ATCACTTTTTTCTGTTAACCCATAATAAAGACATTAAAGAACCAAACTTCATGAATGTTTTTTGTGACAAAGAAGTATCTGTTCCAATCACTCTATCAGAGAAAAATCGGAGTTTTAGAAATAACGGGACACTCAGTAGAGCCATTATATTATATTTTTTACAAGTGTATGTAAACTTCTGACCACAACTGTATGTTCTACCACTGTTTGTATGCAGACAGAGGCGGTTGTAAGGAATCCAGAAATGTTGGAACACCTGTGGGAATTAGTAGCTTTCAAGGTTGATCAACCTCCATTGCTGCAGAACAGCTGTGTTCCCTGAAAAAGGCCTTTTTGTATAATTCTGAAATGTACATTATTTTTCAGTTTTGAATAACCTTACCTTTTTTAACCTCTGGCAGGTCACCCCTTAACTTTGTACCATTTCAAGCTATTCATTGGACTTGAATGACTTAAACTGCAATAAATAAGTGGAAAAATTGGGGCGTTCTAAAACTTTTGACTGGTAGTATATACCAGATGCTTAATATGCCTTGGTGTGAGGTGAATTAATTTAGGGTCGGGAAAATTAGCGTGTTAATTATTAGCATTAATTTTGTTATTTAACGTGTTAAAAGTAAATGACACAATTAATTTGACCATCTCTCCAACCCGGAGCCACCATTCTCCAAAATTTCTCCATATTTCCCCCTGGACAATATTGCTAAACCATCATTTACTGAGCCCGAAAAATGATCAAGTTTCTACCCATATTATAGACTCTCAGCATCGAGGATTCTTTTGAGCGTAGAAGATGAACAGAGGCAGAGCGCTCATGCGCTCCACCTGCATCTGCGTCTTGTGCTCGGCCACAGTAACATTCTCAAAGCGGCGCCACCAAAATATATTAAACACATGATCGTTCATAACTGCTTTGGTACTTTCTGTCCTTTGTTTGTGCCTGACACGCATCGCTGCTGCGCTCATCACCGCTGCTCCATGGCCGCGGCCAGGCAGCGTTTTTTCTGGAGAACTAGATCCTGCATCTCCCTGTGGCAGATGCAGGATCAGAGACAGACAGGACAGGTCAATGGTCAGATAATAAGAAAACATAACAAAGAGCTTGGAAAGGAAAATGTAGGTAGATTTATCCCACTACATGTTTTAATGTTATAAAATAATTATTATTTATAAGCTCATAATATTCATAAATTCCATACAATTCCGATCACCTTCAAAACTCCGTCCCATCCAGGGCCGTATCTAAGCATTTGGGGGCCATGCCAGTGTAGTGTAATGGTTTATGGCTCTTTTATTAAAGATGAACCATCCTACATATTAATTTGAGATATTAATTTTTAATAAATTAATAACCAAATTTTATAGGGTTAAGAAGACTCAAAGGTTGTTTTCATCGATAAACTGACGATCATATCCGTGTGTCTGTGTTTCAGTTCAATGAAGAGACAAGTTGAAATTTAAGAGTTTTAATTCTTCAATTTAAACTAATGATTTGAAATGACAATCATAGGAAAAATAATCAACATTGGCAACCTTGTTGGACAATCTTTAACAGTTGATATTTTAAGCTTGCACAAATAGACCTTGTGTTGGATGTGTTAAGATTGAGGATGATGGAATTATGACTGCATGCATGCAGGTGTCTGAGATTGCTTCAGGGAGAGAAAAGGTGATTCTGAGTGAAAATGATGGTTTGAATTAAACTTAGTTCTTATTAGAAAAGATGCATCAGAAAGCTATCTGGTCGTGTGCTGCCTCACCGTACGAGGACCCCCTTTCAGACCCGGATCCCAGGAGGGTGTGTACTCCAGATGACACCTTGGCTGGCAGAGGAGACGAAGGTGTGCTGGCGATCCGGTCCAGAGTTGCCCCCCGATACACGTTGTTGACGCGTTCACAGATGCGCTTTCTCAAGTTTAAATTAACTCAGAAATCAACGACTCTGGACGAGTCTGCGTTAGCAGTTGCATTTCAGCTATTCTGTCTGGCTTGACAGGAATAACGTGGGGGTGGGGGGGGGGGTGGGGGGGGACGGAGCCGGCGAGGCTCCGTTCCCCCTTTCGTTTGTTCAGCACGTCCACTCTCTCTCGTTGTCAAACTCGAACTGACTAACTTACCAAAACCCACTTCTCTTCCCAAAGCAAACTTGTGCGTCAGAGCAAATGTGTTTTGGAGTTACTGTGAATACAGACCTGTGTGAGCGAGTGTGAAGGTCATCACTAAAACATCTCCCAAAACATTGTTTAATTAAGTATTGATTCATTATAGTTCATTATGATTACCCAAAGCATAATAATCATTCATTTGATTAAAATACATTTATAATGAGTAAAATGGTAAAATGATTATTTAGCATTAATAAACAAAGGAAGCGTAAGACTCTTTTATTATGACTAGCTTGTGTGGGAACTCCTTCTTCTGGAGACCAGATGTTCGGTTGTTGTGGAATCGTGTAGACTCGCTGGCGGCTCAGGTCTTTATCTGTGGGTGAAAGTTGCTGGTGACCCAGCTTCGACCCAGCCGGGCAAATACAACCTTTGTCACAGAAAAACCCCTACTTCCTCACGCTACACCAGTGAGGTGTCCCTTATTTGTTTTTTGGGGATTTGCAATCCTAGTTCAACTGAGCTAACTGTGCTTGATTTATTTTCTGTTCATTGTTTACTTAATAGACTTTTTCAAACAACTCTGTTGTTATTGTGGTAACGAGCACACGCGATAATGAGTTAGTTAGCCAAAATCAGGAATGTTCTGGATTGTTTTTACTGGAATTTAAAAAGGATCGTTATTCGTTACTTAGCGCGGCGAGTGTAACTAAGGACTAGATCACCATGTAAACCCTCGCTAGAGCCTCCGGGGTGACAGTCGGTGCTGCGCTCCACTAAAACTTTCTGTGTTGGTGGATAGGACTAGGTGGGGCACGGGGCTCTGGCTATAAATCCCCATTTCAGAACCAGACCCGACTGGACTCTGGGTCAGAAAAAAGACAAAGATTGCCCCTGAAAAGGCTTTTTTTGATAGATTAATTTATAAAATTTGTTTAAAATTTTAAAGTTTGGTGTGAGTGTTTTTGTCATGACGTGTTCTCTGTTCCTGCTTTCAACTATGGCTAGATTCTCCAGTTTTACCGAGTGAACTGTAATTATGAAAACATGATGCGTGTTGGTAAAACACATCGGACACATAACCCACGTATTTTAATATTGCCCGACAGAAAACCTTGGATCTGTTGGCAGAACTTCTTTTCATCTGATCAGCAGAGCAGAGATGACAGCCGATCTGTTTCCATGGTCCATTTTTCCTCAGTAGCTCCTTTATTCTATCAGCTGAGAGACTTAACATCCCAGCACTCTGAAGCCTAATTAATACTTCTCTGTCTGCATCGGGTCAGGGACACCCAATGGCATTATGCGTCGTTGCGAGCCTGCTGGAGAGCCCTCGCAAAGACAGGCGGAGTCGAGCTCTCTTTTCTAAACACCCATCCGACAAGATGGAAAATGCAAGCTTGTGATTGGTCATGACACCGCTTTTGAGAGCCGAGCCATCAAAGCCAACTCCCCACCAGGTAGTAGTCCGTTGACAGCTCCACCCCGTCTTCACCCCAGTGCCCAAGACATGCAGCTACAGATAAAAAGAAATGACAACAGAGGCAATCATGGGACTGCGGCCAAAGTCATCCTGGTGCCAAGAGCACAAATGGACAACTTTATGCTTGAACATGGTAATCATTATGGACAATCCTGTCATGTCCCTGAGCAGAGGTGAGTCCCACCATCTCCTCCCACCAGAATCAGAGTTCATTCTCCGCAGGTGGGGAGCAGAGGGAACTACACCTGCAGACAATTCCCTAATCAGGAACGCGGGTTTAAAAGGAGGACGGAGACACTTCATTTTGCCAGATGATTGTACCAGTTCAGGTAGCACCAGCCACTCGATTCTGAAACCTTGAAATTTGTTAACTCGTGTTTTGACTCTCCTTCAACTTTTGGATTATCGACCTTGGATTGTATTTTCGGATTTGGATTTGGATTATCCCTTCCACCTGGTTGTCTCGCTCAGGATCACCTCGTCATCTTCTCACCCTCGCTGTCTTCACTTCTGGAATTATTCAACACGTCTCGTCCTCCTCTGCCGTTCCTGCTCGGACTTCCCTCTGCTGCCTCACTCCTACGAAATCTCACCCTCTGCTCAGCGTCCTTCCCGGCTTCTCTTCCCCTCATCATTAAACCTGAACACTTCAGAGACTCGAGCCGTCTTGGCTCCTCAGCACAGGACTTCCCTGTTGCGGTTTTCAGTTACCGTTTATAATAAAGACATTTTTACTTTACTGCTTTGGACTTGTGTGATGATTCTGCATGTCTTGGGTTAGGCACTTACCTCGAGCCATGACAATTCCACAATGAGCACAGATGTCCAATAACAAAACACTACTCGGATTTACATCAAGGGGGCCATTCCTCTCAACCACACGCGTCCAGGTCTCACTGTCATTGCCCACATGAGTGTCAAAAGTCCCCCAGCAGTACGAATGAGTCACCAGAAGGAACACTCTCAAACACCCTCTCCAAGGAAAAAAGGATGAGTAGTCTGAACTACAGTTGTTGTGGCCGATGACCTTTTACCTATGATTGTAAGCATGACATTCAAAATTTTATATCAAGACCATAATCAGACCATAAGTGTAGAAACATTTCATTGTTTGCTTCAAAGTGTTATGTAATCCAGCAATCCAGGAAGACATCGGAGCACTTTTCTGTCCATGTTATGCGCGTAGTAGAATGGAGACAATGCTAGTGTGTAAGTGACATTAGCTCCTAGGTTCATGGGGACACTCCAACCCCTCCATCACGGTAAGGTGGAAGTCCAGGGAGGGGTGTTTTCTCTAAGTGTGCTGTAACGAATGAATTTCCCTACTATGGGTTAGGAAAAACAGGCTACTAGTTTAAATTGAACAGGACGGGGCTAGTAAACATCCAACACTGTTTGTTCTCTATGTCCAGGGGGTCTGGACCTGATACTGATGCCAGGTTTGGGTTTCGACCTGGTAGGAAGACGTCTTGGACGAGGAAAGGGTTTCTACGACACCTACCTGGAGCGCTGCAGCCAACACCCTAAAGGAAAGCCTTACACCATTGCTCTGGCCTTTAACGAGCAACTGTGTCAAGAAGTCCCAGTGGATGTCCATGATGTTCTGATAGATGAAATTCTGTATGAGGAACTGTAATCAGCTCAGGGTAATTCAAGTTGTCTTGGTCAACAGGACCTTTTAATGGCTTGTCTGTTTACAAGCAACTGAACAGTTTTTCTGGACTTATAGTCTGAGCTTGGCTACATCACCATGGTAACATACCCTAAAATCATATCCTACTTGGATTCAACCATTCAAATATAAACACTAGTGTTCACTGATCATGTAATCTAAATAAAAGCACCAGCCATGGATCCCAGCTTATATGTGGATTGTTGGTATTCAAATGACATCACAAAATCATGTTCAACATCTGGTAACAAGTTTTTTTAATTTCTTTGGACCAGAACCCTTCAATTCTTCTCTTTGCCTCCACTCAAACATTTCCACATGTGATGGACAGGTGGCCTGTTCATAGGCGTCACACCCATGGGGGCTGTGGGTGATTCTACAGCAGAACAGCAAATTGTGGAAGCTCAATATCTTTGTGCAAATCAACAATTGGCACTTGAGTAGTCAATTCAATTCAAGTATTTTATTTAGCAGGTACAGGTGCTGGCCAGTAAATTAGAATATCATCAAAAGGTTGAAAATATTTCAGTAATTCCATTCAAAACGTGAAACTTGTACATTATATTCATGCAATGCACACAGACCAATGTATTTCCAATGTTCATTACATTTAAATTTGATATTCATAAGTGACAACTAATGAAAACTCCAAATTTGGTATCTCAAAAAATTAGAATATTCTGAAAAGGCTGAATATAGAAGACACCTGCTGCCACTCTAATCAGCTGATTTACTCAAAACACCTGCAAAGGCCTGTAAAAGGTCCCTCAGTCTTGTTTTGAAGGCACCACAATCATGGGGAAGACTTCTGACTTAACAGCTGTCCAAAAGACAATCATTGACACCTTGCACAAGGAGGGCAAGACACAAAAGGTGATTGCTAAAGAATCTGGCTGTTCGCAGAGCTCTGTGTCCAAGCACATTAACAGACAGGCGAAGGGACGGAAAAAATGTGGTAGAAAAAAGTGTACAAGCTCTAGGGATAACCGCACCCTGCAGAGAATTGTGACGACAAACCCATTCAAAAATGTGGGGGAGATCCACAAAGAGTGGACTGCAGCTGGAGTCAGCGCTTCAAGAACCACCACGAGGAGACTCATGAAAGACATGGGATTCAGGTGTCGCATTCCGTGTGTCAAGCCACTCTTGAACATGAAACAGCGCAAGAAGCGTCTCGCCTGGGCCAAGGACAAAAAGGACTGGACTGATGCTGAGTGGTCCAAAGTTATGTTTTCTGATGAAAGCAAGTTCTGCATTTCCTTTGGAAATCAAGGACCCAGAGTCTGGAGGAAGAGCGGAGAAGCACAGAATCCACGTTGCATGAGGTCCAGTGTAAATTTTCCACCGTCAGTGATGGTGTGGGGTGCCATGTCATCTGCCGGTGTTGGCCCACTCTGTTTCCTGAGGTCCAGGGTCAATGCAGCCGTCTACCAGGAAGTTTTAGAGCACTTCATGCTTCCTGCTGCTGACCAACTTTATGGGGATGCAGACTTCACCTTTCAACAGGACTTGGCACCTGCACACAGTGCCAAAACCACCAGCACCTGGTTCAAGGACCATGGTATCCCTGTCCTTGATTGGCCAGCAAACTCGCCTGACCTTAACCCCATAGAAAATCTATGGGGTATTGTGAAGCGGAGGATGCAATACGCTAGACCCAACAATGCAGAGGAGCTGAAGACGACTATCAGAGCAACCTGGGCTCTCATAACACCTGAGCAGTGCCACAGACTGATCGAGTCCATGCCACGCCGCATTACTGCAGTTATTGAGGCAAAAGGAGCCCCGACTAAGTATTGAGTGCTATACATGCACATTCTTTTCATGTTCATTCTTTTCAGTTGGCCAACATTAGAGAAACAAACATTTTTTCATTGGCCTTTAGAATATTCTAATTTTCTGAGATACCAGATTTGATGTTTTCATTGGTTGTCACCTATAAATATCAAAATTAAACGTAATAAACATCGGAAATACATTGGTCTGTGTGCATTGCATGAATATAATGTACAAGTTTCACGTTTTGAATGGAATTACTGAAATATTTTCAACCTTTTGATGATATTCTAATTTACTGGCCAGCACCTGTACATTGTAATCCAAAATAGTACAAACTAGTTGCAGCTATCATGGCATCATCTAAAGCTGACAAGGAGGGGAGCTTTCTGAGCCTTGCCAAAACTAGGTCAAGAGTTTCCAATAACAGATGTTTAAAGACTGACAAGAATTATTGGTCACACTTGTGCTTTGTTACTTGGGAATGACTTAGGAGATAGTAAATGATTAATGAACTAGGGACTAATGGGTACTTACTGAAAAAAAAACATCCACCAGTTTTATTTAGGGACAAATGTTAAATTATCTAAACAACAGAGAAGGAAAAATTCAGGGACTAATGGATAGTTAACCAGAACTTACTAGGGGTATAACGGTATGCTAAACTCGTATTTAGTTAAATTCAGTGTTTTGAAGGGCTCGGTTTGAGGAATTTTCAATATATTATTATTTGATTTATTTATGTATTTAATATCTGAAGCGGCTCCTATAGTGAGCAGAACCAGGTGTCATCACAGGCTGCTGATCTAGCATGATGTATTTAATTATTTCACAGGTTATTTGCTCCACAGACATGTATACGTAGATGCCCTGTGGACTGGCGCTGTCTATTGGAGATGCCGTAATGGCCGACCACCATTATAGATAGATTAGCCCCCCAGTTCATTCATTTCTACTGAAGAAGGTGCTTACCCAACTAAAAAACATGTTTTATCAGACACAAGGTACGGCATTAGAAATAAAATATAAATATAATTAAATAAAAGTAAATATAAAATCCTATCAGGTGGGCTAGAAAAGTCACTAATAATCCCACATGATCTGTTTCAATAGTATGCTGGTTGTTGTAAACGTAGGATGCACAGAAACGGGCATAGTTGTTCACTCTGCATTGACTTCGGAGAGTGAGGAGACCCATCCAACATGGTGGCGACACTGTTACACTCTCCAGCGCCCAATGGGGCGTCTACGTGTTCATGTCTATGATTTGGGCAGCTCACTCTCATACAGACGAGACGAGTGTTGTGTTTGACGTGTTTTTATTTCTTAACTCGCCTCACACTGCCCAGAGTTTCTTCTTTACAACTCGTATTAAATAACGAGCTTCCTCCGCGCCGTGTTTTTGTTGTAAGATGAAAACTTTGCATCAGTTGTCACAGTGGAGAAGTTCAGCAGACATGTTTGTTTACACGTTTGCTGCTGCATGCCTGCTCGGTGTGAGAGAAGGGAGGGAGAGGAGACACGACGCTCCATTCAGAGTCTCTACAGACTCCACAGCAGCAGCGACAGCCAACTGGTTTGATCCTCTCTGAAAGATGTTGATCAGACGTTGCAGATCACATTTTTTGAACGGATATCGGGCGTGTGCAGCTATCATGTGTCATTCAATACAGCGTCCGTGCGGAAACTCGCCGGGAAACTTTAATCCGCATCACTTAAATCACGCAAATGTGTGAAAAATTCATTATTTAACGGAATAAATAAACCGAAACGGTACGCAGGTGGACCGAACCAAACTGCCCGGACCGAAACGGTTCAAATAACCCCCGTGAACCATTACACCCCTAGTAATTACTAGTTAAAACATTCACTAATCTTATTTAGAGACTTATGGGTAGTTATTCTAGGAACAGAGGAGGAATGAATCATTACTTACTCGGTACTTAACCATTACTACATTTGTGTTCTCTATAGTAAAGTTAAGCTTTCTCCCAAGTACCTACTGAGGAATGAATAATAACTTTCTCAGTACCTAACTATTAACACCAATTTTTTTATTATCCAATTTTGAGAATGAAGTTAAATTGCCCTGAGGGCAGAGCATGTGCTAACGGTCGAGCACACTTAGATTCACAGCTACGTTTAAAGCAGATGGCAGCTTGTCATCAAAAAACAAGATGCATTTTGCCTAATTGATTTACTGACAAAGTAAATGATCCAGTAAGAATAATTAAACACATACTCCAACAATCTGGAGGACAATGGAGAAATTTTAGAGAGTCTACAAAATGACATTGACCAAGTTTTTGACAGTTTTGTCATGGGGCCGAAAAATCAGCAGCTGACTCTGACACACACGTGACCAAGAGAAGCCGACCTCGAGAAACTCCAGAGGTGGTCTCGTCTCCCGGTCAGGATAACATTCAAATACTGGATTCAAGGCATAAAAGGCTTTTGGGATTTGAGGGACGTCTCCACCTGCTATTCTGCCCAAAGAATTCCAGAATCTGTGACAGTCTCTGAAATTTAGCCAGGTAGAACGGCTTGCTATTGAGAACACTTCCTCGAAGGAGTCCATGTCTTCTCTGACAGAGGGAATGACCTGACTCTCTCAAGACAACAAGACCCTGAAGGAGATGGTTTTGGACCTTCAGGCCTGCAGCATGAGGTACAACTGGTGTTCACAGACCTGCCAGAGCAGACAGGAGAACAACCGGACGACTACAGACAATCAAGGATTTCCGTCAAGGACTTCTTCCAGACCCACATGAAGTTCCCTGAAGAAATGGTTAAAAACATATAACTTTTCCAGGTCTGGCCAAGAAACTGGACACTGTCAACAGAGAGAGCGGTTGTGAGGATTTGGCATTGTGGAAGCAGTCCATTATTAACCACCTCTACTGGACAACAGCATCCACACCCGATGCAAATCTAGATTTAATGGAAGCGAAGTGGAAGTCACTGGTGAACCAAGCACAAGACGTTCACAAACATGGAACACAAGTGTTTCCATCTCGTCTCCACAAACAATGGCTAAATCCAGGTGGACACATCCTAGGAGAAGTTAAATAATTATGTGTGACCGACAGGATCAAGTGCAGCAGTTAAACTGGAACAAGTAGCATGCCAGCCGTTGTTTGTGAAAGATGTCAGACAGCCGTCACCACAGCGTCAGACATATTCACTCCAAGCATTCCACTCCCTGATCCTGAAATTTGCTCCACAGCAAACAGGGTTCTCGTACCTGGGCATGTACACTAGGCAAGTATTATTGAGTGTGTGTGTGACCATATTTTTTTTCCTGTTTCTCTATTTCTGCTGGCTGCTTTTCATCATAACATCTTCATCAATGGCAACAGCGACATGGCCAGAACCAAGGCTGGTGTAGACAGACGTGCAGCGCACTATCCACGCTTTAAAAAAGGTGGATGGACTGCAGCCAGTCAAAGATAAACCAAACTTCTGGTAAATGTTATTTTGATTACAGAGTATGCCACAGTACTACTCAGCAGGCTACAGGAGGCCCACAACAAGAACCCTCAGCTACTGAGCTCCTCAGTAACTACAATGAGGGCTGCAGATCCTGGACCCCTGGCAGCTCTGTGTGACAGAGTAGAAAAGCATGAGGCTGTTGGGCAGCACATCAGGATGTCAAGGTTTTCAAAATGGGTAGATTTTAAATTCAATGTATTGACTTAAGTTTTTTTTTGTGTGGATAATTTGCAGAGTCGAGTAAAATTTCCAAATGTACTTTTAGAACTTGTTACGGTCTCTGTAGGTTTGCTCCAGCCCTCCGGTCATGCTGCTGCTGTTTTCTCCCGTTTCCCTGCCATTCAGCCCCAGTCACAGCTCCAGTCCCACTCCTCCTCCCAGCCGGTTCATCACCAGAGCGAGAGCCACACCTAGGAGCAGCAGCAGCGGTGCTACGTCACCCGATCAGCAACCAGCCTTCACCTCGGGCATAATTAAGCAGAGCCACTCAGGAAGACACAGACCGAATCTGGTGATCTCCTTAGCTGTGACTGAAATGTAGTAATTGATCTAGATTGTAGTTCTTTAGTTTGTCATTTGTAGTTTAGTTTGTTTGTAGTTATTGAGCTGTGGGCCATTTTGTTTTTGCTTTAACAGTTTTCATATTTAAATGTAGGTTAGTGTGTTTACACTCCATCATTTAACAAGAGGGAGTTGTTTTAACATTTTGTATAAACTTGTATATATATATAAACCTTTTGTAAAATAAAACATTCATACCATCACTTAACACCTCATTATTTTACTCAGACTGCTTATTTTTCACTAGATAAACGCGATGTTTGCAGCAGGTTCCAAGCATTTTCCATCAGTCAGGCTCAGCGTGGGTTCAATGATGCGCTACGACTTTCAACTGCATTTGCGTCTTATTTATTCATTCCACATCAAACTTGCAAGATGAAAATGGATCAGCACACATGATTACGCAGTATTCAGGTAAACGGTCAACGAAATTCTTTCACCCAAGCTCACCCCGCCATCATCCTTCCTGCCATCAGTCTGTGCTCAACAGGCGACAGGTGAAGATAAGTAGCTCAAGGACGCAGCCAGTGACACACCCTCTCCCAATACACACTAACACAAAAAAATCCTCATTTTTGGCTCCTACAGCCACCTTTTATATTCTCATTTCACTCTGTTGTGCTTCCCCACCCCTACAGCTAGACTGCCAGTGAGGCCGTAACAAACTTTACAATTTGTAAAAACTTTGTCAGTCAAAAGATGTTTTGCAATGACCAAGATCAGGAATGACATAATTTAATGTTTGTTTCAAGTCAGAGTGGATTACAAGCAGCAAACACTAACATTTTCCTGTTGGATTATGTACAAAGTAGTTTCTGAGCCACGCTAGTCCAGACTAGGCCACTGGAAGCCTTTAGTGGTGTCCAGCTTCATCTGGGAAGGCTGCTCTGATGGCGTTCACCACACAAGATGGCAGAGGTTTGTGGATGTGTCGCCCAATGATGCCATGTATCCATCGGATCATCTGTCTATAAGCAACATAACGATACTGTCTGCAAAATGAAGAAGTGGAATTGTCTTTTATTGTTAGCAGGAAATTTTTAATGACTATTTTTAGTAGCATTTTGTCAAATACGGATGACGACAGTGATGCACTGTTGCTAAACTTCATGCTTATGACATCAATGGATAAATCTGTTCTTATTCAGTGAACTGCAGATGTAGGGGTCCATGTTGCTCCTTAAATGTTTGATAAGCTAGCATCAACACAAAGGGATTCAAGCAGCAGCCCACAAATCCAGGATGGCCCGTTACACAGATGTGGTTCTGGTGGGTCCAGACTCAACAAGAGCTCCCTGAATGGTTCCAGTTCCTGACAACACACGCTGTGAACACACGCTGAACTTGAGCTGCGGAGATTTGGTTTTAACAAAACCTCAGAACATGCCCTCTCTGTGTCAGAAAGCTTGTCGTTATGGAGCAAAGACATGTGAGAGCAAGTTACCTTTACTCTGGATTCAGTCCTGCATGATGCGTACATGTGCGTATGACCTTCTGGTTACTGATCACACATTACTGATTATCATGAATAATAATTATTATTAACCCAAAGAATAATAAGTCATTTCAGTAATTAGATACATTTATACTGAACTATGATGATTATTTATGATGATTATTATATGATTGTAATAAACAGTAAAAAGAGTTTATTAAAATTATTGTTTTAAAATCTTGAAGTGTCCTTCATCTTGGGACGGAACAGCAGACAGATAAAAGATGGTGTTTAGCGGACTGTCGTCTCCTGTGATGGATAATCTGTGGAACAAAAGTTACAGCTTGACCCAGCTGACTTAGCTGGGGAAGTGTGACCTTTGGATCACAAATATGAGGTCATTCATGTCGCTGCATAACTAAAAGATCTGCCTCCAATCCTAATTTTAGATATTTTGGGAACCACCAGTAGACCTGCAGTCTGAGAGTGAAGTGCTCGGTTAGGAACGTATGGAACAATCAGATCACTGATGTATGATGGAGCTTGATTATTAAGAGCTTTATATGTGAGAAGAAGGATCTTAAAATCTATTCTGAATTTAACAGGTAGCCAATGTAGGGATGCTAAGACAGGAGAGATATGATCTCTCTTTTTAATTCTCATCAGAACTCTAGCTGCAGCATTTTGGACAAGCTGAAGACTTTTAACTACATTCTGTGGACTTCCTGAGAGTAATGAATTACAGTAATCCAGTCTTGATGTAATTGTAACCCACATATAAATGTGCCTGAGATATTTTAGAGTTCAGTCTCTTAAAACAATAAAAGAAGCAGCTACATTTTATTTTAATCTTTAAAAACAAGAAATAAGTTATTAGCTTAAGAGCTACGTTTAGTTTAATTTAATAACCCACGGTTCTAGTGTAAAAAGGGTTAAATCCCGGGTGAGCTGAAGGCATCACTCTCAGCCAATGAGCTGCGGCTAAACGCTGCATGTCCCGCCCATCTTCTCTGTCTCGGACTGCAGGCCCTCGTTAGTCCTTTTCGGCTGCAGAACACGATCAGAACACCAGCGGAGAAAGTAGGCACGGCGTTTCGGAAAAAAAAGAGGTACAAAATGAAGTGTTAGATGTCTTTGCGAATGTTAAACATAATTTTATGCATGTTTACTCCTAAAGAGCCATAGGTTAAAAGATATTTATTAGTTTCGGTTATTTTTACACTTCTAGTTGTAGAAGGCCAGAGCTTAGAGGCGGCGCCATTTTATGCTGTTGTGCTGCCCATTCGTGGAATCGGTGAGCTACTCATTCCATCTGTTAAAGGTTATTTGCACTTTTTATAGGTTTACTAAGAGTAATGGTTACTACAAGCAAGTGTTGAAGTTCTGTATGGAAAGAAATTGTATTTTATTATTCTGAAACTTTTGTTTTTTTTTTTAAGAAATTGATTACAAATGTGACTGTTTGTTTTAAAGGAAAACTGAAGAAACATTAGAAAGAAATGTAAAAAAAAAATGCTCATTTCACCAATTCTGTTTATAGTAAACATGGTTAATGTTACAGGAAGCACTGGTATGTGTGAACAGACTGTGAATTGAATTGTAGTCAACAATTCATTTTGTTCATTGACGCTGTCGTTGACAGGTCAGGTTTTTTGTGACATATGAACATTCTGATGTTGATGGCGAGCCAGTCCCGTGGATGAACCAGATCAGCAGCGACTTCCTCCATCCTTGCTGCACGGTGGAGTGTGGTAGGAGTGAAAAAAAAAAGAAAAAAACCAAAGGGATCCCACCACGCCAATTCCCTCTCCTTGCATCTTTTACGTACACCTACATATTCCCTTGGACTCTTGGACATCCCGCCTTATTATTTAGGACTATTTTCTTTTTGTTTTGGACTATCCACATCGTTACACGAGGACTGATTTGGTGTGTTTCAGGTCGGAGCCATTCCAACAAAAGTTGAGGTTTTGTTGCAGGAAGCTGAAAATTTTACCCTGTCAGACAGACATTGTATGTTGAACTGGTACTGATCCAATCTGAAAGATTGAGTTACTAAAAAGGGTGCACCCAGAGAAAAAAAAAACAATTGTTGCGATTGTGAAAAGATATTGCCACTCCGAAATTGTTGGTATCAAAGGAAAAGACATATTTCGGACCGAAATAGTTTTATTTAATTTTTCTTTTAAATTTGCTTCATTAAATTTGTCCAGCTGGCATTTCTAAAATATTGGAAGTACTGTCCTGAGTCTCATTCCTTTTTCACCTCTTCTATGAGTAGCCGAACCTACTGGTCCGAACCCTTTTTGAGTATAATTACTTTAGTGAGGTAAATCTGAAATCGAGTCACAAGTAATTCTGAGAGAGTGTTACAGGTGGCGAGCCGCCAGCCAGGAGATACTGTGAAACTGCATGAGACTCATTTAATTTAACACGACAAAAGTAGAGCATAAAGCCAATTTTCAGCAAAATGGATATTGTAATTAAAGAATCAGTTATCATTCCAAATTCAGTAATTATAAATGGACTTACAAACACAAATCTTGATGAAGAAGTAGCAACTTACCTTGGGAAACATGGCTCAGTAAACCGCCATATACGTATAGATGACCCCCATTCAGAGTTTCACAGGCAGATGATAGTGGAGTTCAGTCAGGCGAGTGCGATGCAGACTTTAAATCCCCTTTTGCCACTCACCATTCAAAGCTCTGCTCAGCCTGAAGTTTCATTCGAAATAAAAAGTTTAGGTGAGGTCTATACAGAAAATGCACGGCATGTCACTAGAACATACATGAAACAACTTTCAGAACTGGTAAACCCGAGTGGGTACTCACTAGAGGATATGCTAAAAGAGGAGCTAGCCAAGTTAACGGTGTCTCAGCCTTCAGTCTCCGCCCCTGATATTAGTGGTGAGACAGGCTCACATGCACAGGGTGGAAACTCCCCTGATCAGCCTTGCGTCGATTCTTCTCAGCCTAACGATCCGAACCCGATCATAAATCCAAACCTGACCGATCTAAATGTACCGATACAACGCTATCCCTCGCTCGATCTTAACCCACCAAGTGTCCAGCGAGTAGTAGTTGAACATGTGGTGCGAAGTGGTGAAATGCCTTCACACTCACTCATGCCGAGTAGATTTAGAGCATTCTCTGGGCGTGCTCCACGTCCAAACAATGAAGCCGACTATGATACATGGCGCACAAGCATTGAAGTGCTCATAAACGACCCCGTCGTTTCTGACTTAAGCTGCACACAAAGAATACTTGACAGCCTTTTACCACCAGCTACAGACATCGCAAAGCATTTAGGCTCAGATGCTAAACCTTCTGAATACCTGAAAGTGCTAGACTCTGCTTATGGTGCTGTCGAAGATGGTGACGAGCTCTTCGCACGGTTTATGAACACACTTCAGAATGAAGGAGAAAACCCATCGGATTATTTGCAAAGATTACATGTTTGCCTGACAAAAGCTACGCGACGTGGTGGTGTTAGGGCGTCAGAGTTTGACAAGCAGTTGTTAAGACAGTTCCTTCGCGGGTGCTGGGAGAATAGTCTTATCACCAACCTCCAGTTAGGACAAAAAAAAGAGAGTCCGCCTTCTTTTCCAGAGTTACTCTTGCTATCACGAACTGAGGAAGACAAACAAGCATCAAAAGCAAGCCGGATGAGACAACACTTTGGTCAGAGCAAACTTGGTCCAAATAATCCAAAGCAACGGGCCATTTCTAACGTGCAAACGGTAAGCAGCAATGAGTCCGAGTTTGATGCGTTAAAAAGACAAATAGCTGAATTAAGTACACAACTTAACAGTTGGAAAACAGAAACTAAAAAACCAACCCAGCCCAGTCAGTCAAAGTCTAAAGCAGTCAATGCCAGAGTTGAAGCTCATCCCATGAGAAAAAAGCCTCCAACCACCACGCGGAGTCAACCCAAAATTAATGCAAAACCTCGCCCATGGTATTGCTTTCACTGTGGTGAGGACGGCCATATTGTCGCCTCATGCGAGAATGAACCCAATCCGTCCTTAGTCGCGGCTAAGAAAAAACAACTTAAAGAGCGACAAACCAGTTGGGAAGCTTCAGCCCGAGCCAATGACGAGCCCCATTTAAACTGATCCCAGCCTCCAGTGTGGGACAGGTGGGGGCTTCGGGTTATGATTCTCGTCCCAAAACACGTAGCGTCTCTTTAAAGAAGGCTAAGTCAAAAACACAGTCTTTAAATCTGCCAAAAGGTTTAGTTGGAACCAGAACTTCTGCTACTGTCATTATTGCTGGAAAAGAAACAAACTGTCTTTTGGACACAGGGTCACAAGTGACAACAGTGCCCCAGAGGTTTTATGAGCAGTACCTGTCAGACTTGTCTATAAATCCGCTGGGTGATCTTCTTGATGTGGAAGGCGCAAATGGCCAATCCGTTCCTTATCTAGGCTATGTGGAACTCTCCATCACTTTCCCAAACGAGTTTGTTGGCTCAGATATTAATGTCAACACTTTGGCATTAGTTATCCCTCCCCTGCGATCTGAAACACAAGAGCAGGTTTTGATAGGCACAAATACCTTAGACGCTCTTTATGCTGACTTTCATGAATCCAGTGCAAACTTTCAGCCAACCCCCTATGGCTATCGAGCGGTCCTCAAAATCCTTGGAATGCGTCAGAAATCGTCTAGTAGTGGCAGTATTGGTTGTGCAAAACTCACAGACAAACATCCAACAGTGGTGGGAGCAGGACAGACAACAGTTTTAGAAGCATCAGTTTACATCCCTAAGTGTGTTGATAACTGCAATAATTGAGCCATCATCAGCCTCTCCCTTGCCCAGTGGTCTGCTTGTGTTAACTGGTCTTGTTAGCCTGCCAGCAAAACAACCTTGTAAACTACCAGTTGTCATAAAAAATGAAACCAATCATGACATTATCGTTCCCTCAGGCCGTGTAATAGCCGACATTAATGCTATAACCCGAGTTCTACAAAAAGAACAAACAGAGAAAGTCTCAAATCCATCAGATCGGCCTAAGGAGTCTACTCAGTCTAAAAACCTTAGTTTTGACTTTGGAAATACTTTACCTGAGGAATGGAAGGCACGTGCCTCAGAAATGCTTAACTCTATGCCAGAAGTGTTTTCACAGCATGAGTTGGATTTTGGGCACACAGACAAAGTGCAACACCACATCAAGCTCAGCGATGAAACCCCATTCAAATCCAGACCCCGACCAATACACCCTCTTGATGTCGAGGCGGTGAGAAAACACCTCCAAGAGCTTCTTGACACGGGAGTAATACGGGAATCTGAGTCGCCGTTCGCTTCTCCGATCGTAGTTGTCAGGAAGAAAGATGGTTCAGTTCGGTTGTGCATTGACTACAGGAGGCTCAACCTCCAAACCATTAAAGATGCTTATGCACTCCCCAATTTAGAAGAAGCGTTTTCAGCTCTTGTGGGGTCAAAATGGTTCTCGGTCCTGGACCTCAAGTCGGGATATTATCAAATAGAAATGTCGGAAGCAGACAAACAGAAAACAGCCTTCGTTTGCCCGTTGGGATTCTGGGAATTTAATAGAATGCCCCAGGGAATCACCAACGCACCCTCCACATTTCAGAGGCTTATGGAGCGGTGTATGGGTTCGATGAATCTGAAAGAGGTCCTTGTCTTTATTGACGATCTCATTATTTTTTCGTCATCCCTCGAGGAACATGAGCAGCGTCTGAAAAGAGTCCTGTTGCGGTTAAAAGAGTTTGGGTTGAAACTGGCACCCGAGAAATGCAAATTTTTTCAGAACACAGTTAAATATCTTGGCCACGTGGTATCAGAGCATGGCGTTGAAACAGATACCGAGAAAATAAAAGCCTTAACATCTTGGCCTGTCCCCACCACCCTTAAGGAATTAAGGTCGTTTTTGGGCTTTGCAGGGTATTACCGCCGATTCATTCAGGGTTACTCTAACATTGTGAAGCCATTAAATGAGTTAACTGCTGGTTACCCACCGCAAAACAAAGGCAAGAAAGCACCAACAAAGCAACAAAGCTCATTATACCACCACCCAAAAGATCCATTTGGCCAGAGATGGACTCAAAAATGTCAGGAAGCATTCGAAGAAATCATTGGTAAGCTTACCTCGGCTCCAGTGCTGGGTTTTGCAGACCCCAGACTACCGTACCTCCTTCATACGGACGCGAGCACTGTTGGTCTTGGTGCAGCTTTGTACCAACTTCAGGATGGACATTTGAGGGCCATAGCATTTGCCAGCAGAGGACTTTCAAAAAGTGAGATGAGATATCCTGCCCACAAACTGGAATTCTTGGCCCTCAAGTGGGCTGTCACCGAGAAGTTCTCAGACTATTTGTATGGGACCCATTTTACAGTAGTGACGGACAGTAATCCGCTAACCTACATTCTAACAACTGCTAAGTTGGATGCAACAAGTTACCGTTGGCTCTCAGCCTTGTCCACATTTTCGTTCCAACTACAGTACAGGGCAGGTAGGCAAAATATAGATGCGGATGCATTATCCCGTCGTCCACATGTCCGTCCGGCTGCCGATCCTATATCGCAGAAAGAAAGTGAAAGAATCACAAAGTTTGCTCTAACTCACCTTAGCAGCGATGACACAGAAACCGTCCCTAGAGAAGTCATACAGGCCATCTGTGACAGGCATACAGTTACTACTGAAGACGTGGATCCAGACTCCATTTCTTTTCCATGCCTGGCCTTAGTTGAGTCTCTAGCCTTACATCCCACAGCTGTTCCCGACAGCTTTGAGGAAGAACAGTTAAGTGGTTTTCCTCTTGTTCCACCTATAACAGAGGACGAGTTGAGACAGAAACAGAGGTTGGATCCCACTCTTAATGCTGTAATTACTCAGCTAGAGACTGGTCAGACTCCATCCCCCAGACTTAGAGCAGAACTGTCAGAGCTTCCGCTATTACTACGTGAATTCAATCGATTAGAACTTCAGAATGGAGTTTTGTATCGCAAAAGACAAACCGGTCCAGAGATCTCCTTGCAACTCGTGTTACCAGAGGAGTTGAGGTCCTTGGTTTTCCAACATCTCCACAATAACATGGGACATCTAGGAATTGACCGTACCATTGATTTGGTCCGAACCAGGTTTTATTGGCCGAAAATGTATGTGTCCGTTGAGAAAATGATCAGCACATGTGAACGCTGTGTTCGTCGGAAGAGTAAGCCTGAGAGGGCAGCCCCTCTAATGAACATACAGACGAATAGGCCCCTGGAGTTAGTCTGTATAGACTACTTATCTATTGAACCAGACCAGTCTAACACAAAAGATGTATTAGTCATGACTGATCACTTTACAAAGTTTGCGGTAGCCATTCCTACACCTAATCAAAGAGCTCGAACCGTCGCAAAAGCTCTCTGGGA